AGTAAAATTGTTTACTAATTAATTAAAAAGTTATCAATAAAAACATGATTTCGAAAGATACGAAAGACGAAACTGTTGATGTGTGGGCACGTATAGCTAATCAGAAATCGGTGATGGCCCGTCAAACGTCAACCAACGATGCGCTAATGGAAAATATAAAAAAAAACCTGAAAGTTCCTCGCATATTTGTATTATGATTAAAATAGTTTGTGGATTTTAATAATTTCGACTTAATATGTTAAAATTTAAGCTACCTATTGCTAGGTTGCTTGAAAAATTTAATGATCCAATCATGGGCCAATAAATAACTTTAAGCTTTAAGCCACCCTCCCACAAATGAGCATGGCAGAAACTTAAGTAAATTCCGAACATTTTAAATGCATATAAATAGTTAAATTGAATATTAATATTTTAAAAATTTCATTAAATATAGAAATTTATAATTTATTAATAGTGGAATGCTTAAAATGTCTATGATTAATACTATATTATTACATGAAGTACAATAAAACAATAAAAAAATTTTTTGTGAAAGAATTCTCATTCTTTTCAATTTTTTTTTTTTGTTTTTCCCAATTATTTTGAAAAGTTTTAAGAATTTTTTACTTTTTTTACTTACCAACATATAATAGATCTTAACTTTTTACCAGACACCAACTTAAAAGTTTAAAATCTAACAATTTTTACTTCTCTAGATGCAATAAATAAAAAACACTTAACCGCAGTAAAATCATCGTTTTAATAAAAAATCTTAGTCCTTAGTAACTATGTGCAGATAATGCAATTTTTGGCGGTTTTAAATTTTCCACTAATTGATGTATATATTTCTAGCTTACTAATTAATTCGTTGAGTGTCAAATAAATAATATTATCCAAATCCAATATACGCTACGAGCTCATATCGTCCAGTCACACCCAATGTAGTTAATATAATGTATTAAATACAAAGATTATTACCTATCGTTAGATATAGTTTTGAAACTTAACTCATTTATTATTATAATGTGGTTATATAATCCGTCTAGACAAATTAAAAAGTGAAATACGTAAATACGTAGCTTATAGAACTATCTAATTATACCTATCAAAATTTAATTTAATAAGGTGATGGGTAAATGAGAAAAAATATGGTATAATATTATAAATAATAGATAGATACAATGTAACATATAATATTAATGCTTACAAATCGAAGAATAACCTCTACTTCTACCTCTCTCTCTCTCGTACAAATAATTGGAAAAAAATAATAGAAATCTAAGACACCAGACATACGAACTCATAATAGATTTAAAAATGWTAATTATCATCGTGGGATTCGTAATATTTTGTGTGTAATAGAAATATGCTCACTAACCTGCTTCGCATATAATATCATAAAAATGATGGTTTCAGTAACGATGATTAATTCATTTTAAACGATTTCTCAAACGTAAGGCCCGTAGGAGTCCTTCAATGCAATATTTTCTATTCAATATTTCTTATAACTATTTTAATCGAATTATAATAATTATACTATTATAGTTACGTGTTAAAACCTTTTTGATTACTAACATTTAAAATACTTTTTAAAAGTGTTTTTTAACTAGTATACCTATATGACTTTAAATTTATATCATATTAT